TGTAAAATATTAATTAAAGATGAATACACCCGCTTAAAACCAAAATATTACGCACACTTATTTATTTCGAAATTATAAAAGGTTCACACGTACACACGTATCCGTACATACTTTCACCGCATAAAGCATAATGTTAAAAGTTATTGATTTAAAGAAATTCAAAATAAAAACGCTGCAGCAAAAAAAGATGACCTTTTACTTGCCTTAAATCATATTTAAAATTTTCAAAATTTTCTTTTTATTTTTATTATTAGTGTGTGTAGACAGCATAGTTATTAGTCGAGAATGTAATCAGGGCTTCTCGGCGTATGCACACACGTTAAATAATCTAATATATGAAATTTAATTAAACGATAAAGAGAAAAAACCGCAGACACATCTAAATATGACCTTATCAAAGATGAAACAATGTGAATAAGGAAACAATTCAAAATAAAATCAGTGCAACAGGAAATGATGACCTTTCTTTCGGCCATAATTAGCACGATTGGAAAACATGACAAGAGAGTGCATTAGCAGCCGGTGGACGACAATAGCCGCCTGCGTAACGCATTATCGTCATTGTACGGCGGATACAATAGCCGGGCATGTGCGGAGCATGTCCTTTCCTGCAACTACACGAAGAAGCGCATCACCGGTACATCCGCACATCCGGTGGCTGTCGCGCACTCTTCCCTGCCCGTGGCGCTTACCACAGCAGCGCCGGGGCACTGGCAGCCAGCGCGTAATTGCCGCGCTTGACTGCCTGTGCATTGTGCGGGATAATGAGAGCAATTTTCCTCACAGGAGGCTGGCTCACTGGCCGCCTCAGACTGCTGCTGCTCCACTCTGCCCAACAACGCATACACCCTACACACTGCACAAACAACATGCACAGATTACATTGAAGCGGCACACATCGCGCTACTATATAATCAGCGCCTGATTGTAACGGCGTCTTGTGTCAACCGAGTGGACACAGACTTGTCTTCTAAGTCGTATGGACAGCTCAGAGAGAAGGAGAAAATTACCGGCTTTCCCGGGACATGGCGACAGATAATTGGTATCTTTGGTGAGCTAGATCGTTCGCTTTCTTTCCCTGCGCGGACGATTCATTAGGAGGATGAGCGCAGTTGTGCGGAGAATGAGAGCGAGGGAATGCGGGAATCTCTCTCTCGACGACGCCGCTCCACCCTTATGCCTACTTAGAAGCAGCATCCATACGGATGCACTGCCGGCTTGACATCTCCCTTAGCGCCGACATGTACACACAGATGCCACTTTCAACCGGCAGCAAAACAAGCACGATGACCTTTACTATAACTGCCTCATTAGGCTGGAATATTTTCATCGCCCTGAACCGTCTCCACCACAATCAAAAAGCGTTTATTACGTATTTATACGCTTTTATGCAACTAGAGTTAAATAAATAGTAAGGGAGAGCTTCTCTAGGTTTTTCCGTTAACTTAGATAAAACATCTGTACTATGTTGACCCGGCAAACTATGGAAAAATATGCCTCGATTAAAAAACAACATACAGCCTGTTTTTTTTAGACAAGAAACATTAAAACGTTTTTAAGCTTGACGCGGTATAGTCTGTGAGAGCCGCACGCAACACACTGAACCGCGAACGACACGCTGGGTCTGTCAGGCGATGAATGGGGGGTCGGTGGCGCAGTACAGGCTTCCGGTGATGGGCGGCCGTGTTTCCTGTTGATGGTCGCCAGCGCGACAACACGTGTGTAATAGAATAACCGGTGCGAGCACGTACCTTGGAAGATATTCCACAGACTCTGCCGGTCTTCGCTGGCCATGGCTGCTGACCGTCACACCCCGGTACACCCACTCTGCCGGCGTCGTATACCGCCGTATCTGCACTGCTGACGTCACCGTTGATGCACCACAATGAAAAGCGTAATAACCGTAATATAAATGAAGCGTATAGGGATCACAAAAAATCCGTTTTATGTTTTGCCGTTACGTCGTATATCCAGAGGCACTGAAAAAGCCGAACCGTACTCAAACTAGAAACTGATAGGACGACAGTAGATTAACGATTAAAAAAGTGTGGAAGAACTTTTCAGTCGAGTGAAGCCGAAATGTTGGATGCGGGGAAAAATAGTTTGGCGAACTGATCGACCGGCATTTGGCAACTGTGTGTGTGTGACGACTACTATTGCATGTATGTGTGTTTATCGGATCTTTCTTTCCTCTGTCGCGCGCGCTGTCGTCGAATCGGATCTCGGCTGCAGCGCTGAGCAATTGGCGTTTGCGGGGCAATTTAACTGCGGCGGATAATCATAATTTGTGTATAATCATCGGGTGGAAAATAGCTCCGCTCATTTAAACGCTGCGACTGCTGCGCTGTGTATATTACTTTTGCCTTGGTGTAATCGCTCGGCACATGTAAAGAGGACAATTTTACATAATTTCTCCGTCTCCCCTCCACTCTGCACTCGGCAACGGACTCGGCAGACAGCGGTACGCGGGCAATTATGCGCTGCTTTAGTGCTCGGCTGTTCTCCGTTCTAGTTGCGCGTGTGGAGCTCGACGACGGAGGATGCCGCATACGGGCCAGCGGATAATCATCATCATTATGGCACTGCCGCTGTTTCGGTCAGAATACACACACAGAGAGTACTGGTGGCATTTGGGTATGCCTGATTGGTCAGCGTGCTGAAGCGACGCGGATGAATCAGAGCAGACAGACACAGCTATGCGCGGTTTATTTTAACCGTCTAGCATCACATAATAACCATAAGAATATTTTTTGCGATCGTGCGCCTTTCGGGGCGGGGCGATCGGATGGGGACGGGACCGGAGTTATTTAATACACGGGGCAGTAGGAGCGTGTGCCGGCGTACTGTAATGTACCGTGTGCGTATCGTGTATCAGGCTTTGTCTTTTGGCGATTCAGCGCAGCGCTTCTACCGGTTAAAGGGAAGTGACCCGGCAGATGGTACCTAATTCGTCTACATACAGAAAAACTTTGATTTCGCACACTCTTGAACACTTTTTTTGCATGCTACGGCCGTAATAAGTACGTTACCGTTTAACCAATAGGAGGATAGAGATTGTGGCTGTTTTCTCAATTTTTAAATTTTAACTGTAAAAGTGGTGTGCGCACATTTGTACCTTGTGTTATTTTGATGGCCATTATTTGCGTTTTTGTTTTGCGTTGTAACATTTTTGCATTTTTGCGTTGTTTTATGGCATTTTGTAGTGGGAGTTTTTACTGTAAGAAAATTCCCAAAAGTTTAAACGCACTTAGGTACACGCAGTGTATCATTACGGACCGGTCCACGGTTAACCACCACCTCTTTCCAATTCTAAAATGAAATTTTAGCAAATCTTTTCAAAACGGGAGATTATGGTAGGACAGTGGATCGGTGTAAGAACGAATTTTATGCTTACGTGCATTTCCGTGCAGAACTGGAAGAACAACGGTTCATAATGAGACTTTCGGTACACCTGAATGCATTTAAAATTTTTGGATTTTTTTAATGCAAAACGCTGCAAGCCGAAGCTGCGCTGCGTAGAACGGTTCTCACGTAAATGCACACAATGCCATAAAACAATACAGAAAAATGTTTATGAGCGCGCGTAACCGAAAGTTTTCGTGCAGAATTTGGTACATACATGTACCAGGTCGGTTCCCTTAAATCTATACAGATCATGAATACGTTTTCATGATAACACAAACCGAAAATAGGCAGCTCGAGGCCGTAAACGTGTATACAGAAGCGTCCGCAATCGGTGATTTTCATGTTTATGATTAGTTTATTGCTCACTTATTATTCACGAGGTACGTACCTACTGGCGACATACGCTGCAATTAAGTACTTACAAGTTAAGCAAAATGGCCCGGTACATGATGCCAAAAATGGGAATAATATTCTACAACTTGCGCTTTCGCGCCCTGCGAATCACTTTTTCGTAATATTTTATGTCATTCTGAAGCTGATTTATTTGCATACATTGTTCTGAGAACCATTTGCGCCCGCGCAACACCCGGTTGCGCACCATTGTACCAAAAGTCTAGTTATAACCCGATCTTCTTAAGACTTTGCTGTAAAAGGCACATGGCCATATAGTCGAAAGTGAACCAATATCAGATTCACGGAATTTTTTGCCGATTTCAAATAGAATTACAAAAACTTTAAAAAATGAGAAAATGCTTGAACGGTGCTTCGGCGTACCGTGCAAGCATTTTCTCATATTGGAATACCTCATGAGGTATTTCAGTAATCCGTTTAAAATAAATTTTTTTGTTAAATCAAGTCTTCGTTATTTTTTTTTGTAATACCAAGTAAAAGAAGAAATAATTTAAAAGGTTTAACAAAGCATTTTATATCAGCGCGTGCTTTAAAGTTTAAGTGTGTGCTGATTTTATGGGGAAATAATACCTTGCATGTTGCATGCTATTGCGATCTTCGTTTGTGGCACCGTACTACGATGTGACGACTTTCTTAAAGTTAGACAAATGTTGGCAGTTGAAAGGCCGCTACAGATATGAAACAGTTACAACGCTATTAAAAATTTTTAATCTATCTTGTACATTTCTGAAACCAAATAATCAAGTCATAATCCTAGTATTAGCAGTGCAGCGCCGTGTTGCTGCATAAGCCTGCATTCGAAATTTTTGAAGTTTCCCTAGATTTTTCCAGTTTGTTTTTTCTCAAGTGTGACCATTTAAGCTGCTTGACTCTCGTCGGTCTTATGATGTCGCATGACGCACTTAAAATAATATACTGCACTTAAAAAAACTAGCTTAATAATGAGCTGCGTGTCAGGAAGCGAAAACCGGTATGCTTAGTTTTTCATGGCGCCATGGATGAAGTTATTAAAGGAATCATCGCGCTCCTCCATCCACTTGGTGTGGTCCTCCGGCGCCATACACCCGGTGATCAATGACTTGTACGCTTTATCCCGGTAAGTCAGGATCCCTCCCTTGCCGACCTTCTGGTGCTCCCAGTCCTCGAAGGTCCGCACCATGGCCTGCACGTCGAACTTGGGATAATCAGTGGCGTCCAGGAGATCCATGCATGTACTCCCCCTGGAAGTGGATCATGATCCCCTCGTCCTTCTCCGCCGGCGTCCACGCCGCTTCCCGTTCCCGCCACGGGACCGCGTCCCGCTCTCGTTCCTCCTTCCCAGGGATCGTGATCCGTCCCAGGATGACGTCGCGTGCGTACCACGCCTGTGCATCGAAGAGCGGGAAGGTGAAGCGCTGGTCCTGCATCCCGAGATAGATCAGGCGCGGGTTGTTGTTCCAGAAGATTCCCTTGTGGAAGTTGGGCGGGTAGAAGAGGTTGGCGGTCTGCAGGCGGAGGTGGTCCGGGAGGAAGGGGAAGTGATGCTGGAAGCCCGTGGCCAGGATGATGGCGTCCACCTCCGCGGTCGACCCGTCCCGGAAGTAGGCGGTCTTCCCCTGGAGCTCCCGTAGCAGCGGGCGTTCGGTGATGCCGGGCGGCCAGTCGAAGCCGAAGGGACCGCGGAGGTAGCTGATGACGACGGAAGCGGCGCCGTATTTGTGGCACTGCACGGCGATGTCCTCCGCCGAGTAACTCCGTCCGATGACCAGCACATTTTTGCCGGCAAATTCCGCCGCATCCCGGAAATCGTGCGAGTGCTGAATGTGATCGGGCAGTTTCATTCTTTAGTCCAGAAAGTTTTGTATTTCAAAGGTCACCGTGCGATTCTGCTGGCACAATATATATACTTAAAAACCATTCCGTAGTACGGCTATATATGCACTGCTAAATTGCGATTGTATTAATACCACCGTGAATTTATTTAATCTTATCGGTTGTGCATCTCTGTACAGTAGCGTAATCTTTTGAATCAAAAAAATGTCGTGGATGACAGCCTGCAGCCGAGCGAAGGGCTGCTTATCCAAAGCTAGTACAGGCTTGATATTTCTGTTGGACCGTCACACTCTTTATGCCGGTCAAATAATCTGATCCTCCACTGGTAAATATCTGCCATAAATAAAAAATATAAGTGAGGCGTAAGTATAAAAGTGATGACGAAAGGAATATTGAAAGATGATAGACAGAAAAGATCAACTGCATTTCTTTGTGACGTGCTCGTACCTTCTTGTTAATATACAGTACTCTGCATATACACTAACGTTAGCATAATTTTAATTATGACTAAAAAGAGTTTCATCGTGTAAATTTACTACTGATTGATTTTGTAGATACATTGATATCCAGAACATGAACATTCAAGAAATCCTAAGCAAATGTCTAACACCAGCTAGGATCAACAATAAAACTGTGTATTGTGTAAAAAAGCTAAATAAATTATACAAAATTTCATTGACAATTGCCGATCCTGTTGCGACAAAGCTCGCTTAATATATTGTTGCACCACCAAGCCGTATATGAAAGGTTGTAGCGCAAGGGCTTCGGAAATGTCGCCACATTTGCCTTAGATCATGAAGATCCAAAGATTTTAAAAATAATAAGGTTCTTCCACAAAGTTTTTGGACGGCATTTATTAATACAATGAATTTTTATACTGAAGCATTTAATAATACGTACAGTAAATTTTTTTATATTTTATTTATTATTTAATTTTATTTATATTTCTATATATGTTTGCCGATCGACTGGGCATACGTTTGTATTCTGTAGAGTTTAGGTTGTCTGTTGTACTCGCACTTGTTAAACAGTACCGTTTATGAACGGTATATTATCACATACGGCGCCTTTTGGTATTTCAAATTTCACCAGATTATCTTTATTTTACGCAGGCGCTGCACGGTTGAAACGGGCAAGCCTAATATAACATATGGCAGACGTAGTCTGTCTATATATTATATTAGTATAGGATCCAACGTGTAACTGAAAGGTTACTGAAAGGTCAGGAAGATTCTCTCTGTTCTGAGCTTTTGCGTCTGTCTATCCTCTAACGGGGAAAAGATGGAAAGTAAAGGACACTAAAGGTTAGCCTCAATCATGCCTGTTCAGTTGCCGATTCTCTGTCGGATTCCCATTCGAAGAGATGCTGTAATGTACTGTACAGCATCTCTTCGAATGGGAATCCGATACATATACATTGTATCTTTGCGATACATGTACAGTACAGTGCACATGTATCGCAAAGCTGAACTATGACTGTCGGTATTCAACAGCAGTATCAGTGGATGACTTCCCTCATTCTCCATTCTATGTATCGGCGCTCAGAAAAAAATCATTGAACTAGAACACTTAATTGCTCGTTTCCCAGGACAAGAATGCAGTGTCCAGGCTGAGCAGGAGAATATGAAATGAAAAGGAATGCAGGTCAAGAAAACGTATTGCTGTACATCAGAATAGTTCAGACATTCCCAAATTCTAGAAATTCCCCGTTAGAATTGGACAACTCGTACGCAGAGTCGCAGATAACGCATTGTTCCGATTTGACTAGCATCAATGAAATTCAAATGTTCATTACGCAAATAACAAATTCTCTTGCACGGCTGCAGTATTTTGGTTTTTTTCGCATTTATTCTTAACCAATCCACGCGCCTGCGTAAGGCTTCCGTAGGAAGCGTTCCGAAGGAGTTTTCTGAATCACCTCTTTACAGGGTTATTAAATTGTCAAATCGTAGCATCACGGCGTTTTATTCAACTTTATCTCTTGTTCATTTAATTGTTATTTTAAAATGGGATAGCAGCGGATGGTGTCCCACTCTGACGGATAAACCAGGTCGCGCACCCAACGCGCATAAACAGCCGTGACCTTGGCCAGCATTCCCTCCGTCACCAGAGGGAAGTTGTCGTTGACGGCCCACATGATGCGGCTGACTATACCACTGGCCACCTCGTTGGACCACTGCCATTCCCCATCGTCCATATCGGGCCGGTCTCTGCGGCAGTCGAGAAGGACGCGCGGCACCCTGATCTCGAGCTGATCGACGGCCAGTACGTGGTCCCAACCCAGAGGTCGCATTAATTCTTTTCCCGTGAAGGCAGCGATTGCAACGTCCACCAACTCCAAGCTAACCGTGCCTCGATGAAAATTTCGTACGTTGGTCGGCCAAAAAGACGGCTGACCTTCCAATTGTGCAGTAGGATCCGCTGGCAAGTGAGATGCAGCATTATTGCGTCTTCCGTCAAAGGATGTTCCACGCAGAACACATGCTCCGACCTGTTTTTGTCGTAGCTATCGAGAATAAAGTTCTTCAATACGATCATGGGCACGAACACTTCCCGGGTTGTTTGCAGGGCCAGCAGCAGGTAAACAACAGAATTTCTGCGCGCGCCGGGAGAAATCGCTATTATAGTCCAGGCTTTTGGTCGCGCCGCTGATGGTGCGCGTCAGCAGCGCGACCACTGGGAAGCAGTTGTAGTTGTCCGACGTGGTTTCTTGAATCATGCAGTCCAAATGTATGCGGATGTGCTCCCTGGTACCGGGACGGTCCACCAGTTCGCGCCATAATGCACACACTCTGTACGAAATCATTACGGTCAGCGCAGAGTTGATAACTTGATACAGCCTCTATTATCGTTCTGTAAGGACTAAGGAGATGATCATCATCCCTTAAATCTAATTTCCTAACTGATGGGGGTGCGTTTAATAACAGGAAGTTGAATATTGATTGGCTAACTTGAATAAGTACTTGAACTTAATCGCTAAACAAAGGGAGGCAAAAGCGATTGCTACTTAGTGAAGGTGAGGTCATTACTGAAGCAGATCAACAGTTTCCAAAGAAAGCTTGACCCATAGGGATGCTCATGGCCATCAAATTAATTATATCACGGTAAATTCCTAGCCCACTGAACAACGTCCTTTAGTAAACTGGCGAACAGGCGAATCATCCAGCCGGATGCGATCATGCCAAAATTTTATGCGGCACTGCATGTGAGGCTTAGTGGTCAGCTTGGAATACCTCGTTGATCGCGTATACTGCCATTTTGCTCAGTTCGCCAAGAACACCGCGTTGATCGCGTATACTGCCATACCTCGTTGATCGCGTATACTGCCATACCTCGTTGATACCTCGTTGATCGCGTATACTGCCATTTTGCTCAGTTCGCCAAGATCCACTTGTCGCAGATCGACGCGCATAGATGATCGAGGTGTGACGTTGCGGCAAAAGCCACTAAACCAGCAGTGGGTATGTCATCATACAGAAATGCTAATTTTTACTATCACCATCGCGGTGCTTACTAGCGCAACAAATTATGTTTTGCGTCGCCGGTATGTATCACATAATTATTATGTATGCCGGTACCGTATTTCTGCAAGTTTGCGCATTCCAACAAAATTAACACTAAACGGCATAAAAACGTGTAAGAAGCGCTTCACGAGAAAACTTTTTCAGGAAACGCCCGCGCGTGCCAATTGAACCCCAGAAACGCCGCTATGAGAAACTGGGAGTGTGATTGCAGTTTTGAAAAATCAGTTGATGAACAGTGGCATCACCGCGTGTAGCTGACAGGAAGGTTGACGGGTTGATGGTTGACGCTCAATGAAGGTCATGAACCTTTTCGTAAAGGTCTTCAACCATTCTGATCAACCTTTTTTAAAGGTCACCAACCTTTCTGATCAACCTTTCTCTAAAGGTCATCAACCTTCAGCAGGAGGTTTTCCACCTTTTTGCCGAAGGTCGACCTAGCTGCACTATTGTCTTTCTGCTTTCAGTTTACCGGACGATTTTGGTTGTTTTTTTAAAGTTTATATGAATCATTTTAGTGTCCAGCGCGCAGGCACTTTTTTGTGTGGTGGCTATTGCCTGTTTATCTGTCTAAGCTTTCTAACCAGTAACACTTTTTTTCTTAACATTTCTTTCTCGGTATACATCGATTAAAAAATGGCGACATGGTGTGTATTTGGAGACATTGCGGCTACCCACTGCGGCCTCGAACTGGGCATTGGCACATCGGAGCGCAACACTTTAAACAGAAGGCGAAGCACGCAAATGTCTATTTTGGTTGCCCTGTTTGGGCTACTTGTGCACTTTACCAGTAGCAATTTTCCGAACCTTTGTGCTTTAGGATTGACACTACCACGTGACATTACCACGTTTTGCATAGTAAGGGAGACCTAGATGTGGACGTCATTGTGCGAGTAGGTTTAGTGAGGGTTGTTATGGTAGTCCACTTTTGTGCATAAACCTTTCTTTAAAGATCATCAGCCCATCTGTAAACACCATTAAGCTTTCTGTAAACATCATCAACCTTTCTAGAAAGGTCATCAACCTTTCTGTAAAGGTCATCAACCATTTTGTAGTCATCAACCTTTCCGTAAAGGTCGTCAAACTTTCTGCAAAGGTTGTCAACCTTTTTTGTTAAAGTCGTTCCGTAATCAAGAACACATTATGCGAAGCCACAAAAAAGTGAGTTGCGGTCGGAGGTATCAGTCGATGACTCGATAGCGATAAAAAATCGATTACCGATTCTCCGAATTAGTGACGGCGTGCATTGATTCTCACAATGGGCCCGAATGCACTCGATGGTGTCATTGTTAGACCAATCGACACCAACTTTGCCCTGCAGATAGGTGGACGGGGGGATGGTGGATGTTCAATGAAATGAAATCGCATCCACCCTTCTGCCGGAGCACATTCACCTTTTCTCTAAAAGATCATCCACCTTTCCGCCGAACCAACCGGCCGGCATCGATTGATCTGACAATGACGCCATTGAGCGCTTTCAGGCCCAT